TTTATTTTATTTTTTGTTACTTTTGTGAGTTAATATGTATTTTTTTATGTTTAATTAGGATCTCTTATTTCAATTTAAAATAAAAACGTGTACTTAGAGATTTTTGCTTTTTAATCCGTCTTCTTTCATTTCATTTTCATGGACCAACAAGAAACCCCCCCCGAAATAAAATCCTGGTTACGGCCCTGATTATGTTTATATGTTGCTTGTTTTCTATTATAATTTTATTATTACTTAATGTAAAGGATATTACCGTTAAATAAAGTTATTATTATTATTATTAAACTTTTAGTAACTTTAGTAATTTTTGCGATATGTTAATTCGCTTACAAGTAATCAACCATAGAGAAAGTTTTTCTTCCTGTGTGCAAGTACAAGGTGTGTCGTTACAATATCCTAAGTCGTCCAACCATTACGCAAACATTTACGTTTCTAATAAAATAGTGAAAAATAGGCCAATGTAAAAGAATTTCATCGATGGATGAAAAATTGAGTGCGATTAATTTGATCGATGAGTGACTGGAGGCTTCATTTGCATAATTTATTCAGAGAAATTAAATAAAAAAATTATTATTATTATTACTATAAATGTCAAATCCTGAAAATTTAATCAACAATAATTGGTTCAACATAAACACTCGTGTTATGCAAATACAATTACTGGTTATTTAATGTTAACAGAATAACTGCACGTCTTATGCAATGCATATTATAAACATAAATTATTGCAACTATATGAATTCACACTGTATGTTTTTGCGTGTATTACAAGGAAAGGAATTTTAATCGGCGTGATTATTTTCCAGATTTACACAAGCTGTTCAAAATAAAACTCAAACTCTATAAATTATAGAAAAACCAAAGTCAAATATTATAGGCAACCAATTATACATAATAGATTATTTATACGCATTGTGCAACATAAAAACTTTTAATTGACTAACAACTTAATTACAATTTAAAGTTATTTAATAAAAATTCAAGTTTTATAAATTATTTTTTTAGAAACAAAACCCAGAATGATTTGTTATCATAGGCAACTATTTATACACAAAATAACTAATTTTTGCGAATTTTATTTAAAAGTAATTTACAAACAACATTATTACTTTAAATTTACACACCTTGTTCAAATATCAACTTAAATAATGTAAATATATTTTAATAATAGTCTAGGCAATCAAATACACCAAATCTATCTTTTTTACATATATTACAAAGAAAAGTAATTTTTTAAACAGCTTAATTGTTATATAAAGTTGTT